AGTTCTTCTTCCTCCCATTTTTTCCTCATAACAACAATCCTGTGAGGTCAGTTGGACTAGAAGAAGGTGGTTTTGAAGTTAATGCTTGATATTTGTAGACCAATATATTAAGCCACCGCTCTGAAACTCTTATTTTATCTCTGTCCAATTTCTAAAGAAAATTTTGAACTCTGTTAATGTCACTGCGTTTTTGTATTTACCAGATGAGCTCATATTTCTGGACTGTCAGACTTTTGTTATCAGTAAGCTAACTACGTATATCTGCATTCTTTTCTTTCTACTTTTCTTTTCTTTGTTCTCTTGCTAAGAGAAGTCCGGCGGCAGAGATGTAGCCGGTAGGAACTTTACCAAAATGTAACAATTTAATTATTTAGATCAGTAAGATGTTTTATTTTCTTCTTTACAATAAATATGAGTTTAATTAGAAGATGTATTCTGGTTTTATTTTTCAAGAGTATACACAAGGAAAATGCCACGATCCAGGCAATTACCCCAGGAAGGTAATGGGGCTGATTGCCTCTGACAGTTAAGTCCTTTGTAAAAAACAAAAACCATTAAAGATAAGTAAATTACTCTGTGGGGTCCTTGGTTCTCTCTGAGCTTTGTTGTTTTCTTGCAGACATTTCATTACCAAGCTAGGTAACACCATCATCAGGAGTGGAGTTTGATCTCTTTTTATATGGTAGTGGCCTGCCCTGTCAGTATTGGTGGCAGTGGTCTTGCTGCAGTGGTGAAATGCAGCTGGCTCTATCCGGCTCGTGCAAGCCGATAGCGCCAGCGGCGGGTGGTTCAGTGAGCGGCGGGAGGCTCCACCCCTCCAAACTGGGACATCATTACATCCTGGTTTTGATCCTCTGCGCATGAGCAGAAGACTTCCCCCCAAACTGGGACATTGTCACATCACGGTTTGACCCTTTGCGCATGCGCAGATGATAGGCTATGCACGAGCACATTAGCAAGCCGGTAGGAAAGGTAAGTGCATTTTACCTGTCTTGCTGGTTCCTTGACTAGATGGTTGTTTACTGTTTGCTTGTTTGCCCGATTTGGTTGTTCTTGGATTGGGGTATTGTTTACTTCTTGATTGTTGGTCTAGTATACATTATATATGGAACACAGTTTTACATATTTCCCTAATGAATTCTCTTATCCTCTATTCCAAACCTCTATTCCACTTACTGTAGTCTTTCTTCATAGGTGAGTTTATTCCCCTATTCTAGTTCTAGAATATTCTTTTTAAAGCCTGGTGATCACAGCTGTATACACATACTCCAAATCAAGTCTTACTATAGATTTCTAGGAAGGCATTATTAAATTGGCAGTTCTATTTTCAATTATTTCCCTTTCTTGTATACCAGCCTGGAATTTGTCATGTTTTATAGCAACAGCATGCTGGCCTGACATTTTTATCAAGCTGTTCCCTGTGACTCCAAGATCTCTTTCCTGGTCAATCACTTCAGCTCACATCCAATTAATGTATATCTGTCATTTGGATTTAGTGTGCCAACGTGTACCACATAATGCTTTTTTACATTGAATTACAGTGGTCATTTTTAAGCCCATTTCTCCAGCCTGGAGAAATTCTTTTTGGAGCATCTTACAATTCCTTTTTTGATTTTATTACCTGAGCATTATAACAAAGCACAGTCAAACTGTTTATAAAGAAAAGGGGTTTAGCTGGGGGTGTCCTGAGAAAAGGTAGGGGCAATGTATAGTTTACTGGTTGGGACCTCCAAATATAACAATGAAGAAAATACGCTTAAAAAAAAGGCGCAGATTGACAATTTCAGGTATGGAAAGGAAGTAAGTAAAGGATAGGAGTTCTGTCTACATGGAAGTGTATAGGTCTTCAGAAATGTGCTGGAAGCCACACTCAAAAAGATTCTGGCAAAAGCTAAATTTAATTGAATTAAAATACAATTTAAATGTTCCACATATACATTTAGTAATTCTTTTTCTTGTCACATTTAAATTACTGTTCAAGCAGCAATTCTTGGAGAGATTTTGAAAGCTGCATTTAAGATCTAGAGGACCACATAAATCTTGAAATTCACAAACCGGACTGATCATGTTGGTCAAAGCTGACAAGAACCACCTTCAATTTTGCCTTCAACCAGCTGGGCTCGCTGTATAACTGTTGGTCAATCATGACTTAGTAGTTCAGTTTACTAATTAATAAGGTTCTTTTTGTAGAAAAAATGGAGGAGGACAGATTTGTTTTTATATTCAACTCATTTTGAAACCACCCATCTTCCTTTCAGAGGGACTCAGTGCAGTGTACAAATAAAATATTATAACATAAAACAGTATATAAAATTTTAAAAGAGGCAAGGAAGATTAAAGTCAGTGTTAAAAATTAATTAAAAGATGGAGGGAGGGTTTTCAGGATGTTACTAGCCCCATGGCTGTGTGCTTCTTTGTGAGCCCCAAGCAAGGCCTCAGAGCCATGTTTTCACACCTTTCCAAAAGGCCAGGAGAATATATATATATCTAGTGAATCAAAATAACAATAATCATAAAGGTAAAGGTAAAGGCAGAGGTTTCCCTTTCCAGTCATGTCTGACTCTATGGGCTGGTGCTCATTTCCCTTTCTTAGCCAAGGGTGCCAGCATTACAGCATTATCCAAAGACATTTCTATGGTCAGGTGGCCAGCATGACTATATGCTGTTACCTTCTCACTGAAGTGGTACCTATTTATCTACTTGCATTTGTCTGCTTTTGAACTGCTAAGAGGCAGGATCTGGGGGGGTGAATGGGAGCTCACCCCATCACATATTGCTCACGTTTCAAATTTCCAGCTGACAAATTCAGTATCTTTAACCGCAGAACTATCACACCCCAAACAATAATCATATAAAGTGGTTTAATGTGTTAGATACAGCAAATTCTGATTACTCAGGTTGTGCAGTCCCAGGAAAAGATACAACTGCTTTAAAGAGTTGCTTCATTCATATTTCCACGATATCCAAAGCACTGCACATCCTTAATGAATATACAATAGAATAATAATGCAAATAGTTTCAGATGCAATATACACACCATTCTTGTGTAATTGAATGTCATACATTGAAACGTCATACTCCCAAAGAGACTGATAGATTCTTCCACACATATATTTGGCCTCATTAAGGATCCTTTGAGTCAGGATGATTAAAACTGTTGCCTTTGCACTTCATTAGCTCTGTGATTCACAGTGGGAGGTGTGCTTTAATTGCTTGGATTTAACCTGCTAATTGAGGTTACATTAAGTTCATAGTAACAACAGACTAGCTGATTATTGAAACAGGAGCAGCTCTTTTTTCTTCCTCATATTCTAAAAAATGCCAGTCTTGAGGGATGATGGAAATGGCATCTGGAGAGATGCATCAATTGCACGCTTACTATCTCATCTATAAAGCAATTGGTATGTCTTCCAATTTTAATAGCTACCTCAGAAGTAATATGATATACAATCATATAATTTTGAAAGACATAATCTACAGGAACAGTAGAATTATGTAATTTGGCCTGTATGGGAGCTGTTGATTGTCAAGTTGCTACCTGGCAATCCATCTGTAACAATATTAAACATTTTTTAAAAATGTGATAAAGTAGCATGATGCTTTAGAGATGCGGTGGCTCAGTGGCTAAGATCGACTGAGCTTGTTGATCGAAAGGTCGGCAGTTCAGCGGTTTGAATCCCTAGTGCTGCATAACGGGGTGAGCTCCCGTTACTTGTCTCAGCTTCTGCCAACCTAGCAGTTTAAAAGCACGTAAAAAATGCAAGTAGAAAAATAGGGACCACCTTAGAGTCGGGAATGCCTAGCACATATGTGCGAGGGAAACCTTTACCTTTACCTTTAGCATGATACTTTAGCCTGTTGTGCTCAGAAATGGAATTAGAACTGTGCATCTGCCTTGGATTGCTAGTCATTTAGGAAAATGTGCAGAGATCCCCAGCCTTCAGCAAAAAAAAATGTATTGGGTATTTATTCTTGCCCTTCCTATATAGCTAGTCCTCAATTTATGACCATAATTGAGCCCAAAATTTCTGTTGCTAAGTGAAACATTTAAGTGAGTTTTCCCCCATTCTACGACCTTTCTTGCCACAGTTGTTAAGTGAGTCCCTGCAGTTAAGTTAGTAACGTGGTTGTTAAGTGAATCTGGCTTCCCCATTGACATTGCTTGTGAAAAGGTCGCAAAAGGTGACCACATGACCCCAGGATACTGCAACTATCATAAATGCAAGTCAATGACCAATCATCTGAATTTTGATCACATGACCATGGAGATGCTGCAACGGTCATAAGTGTGAAAAATCATCACAAGTCACTTTTTCGGTGCCATTGTAACTTTGAACGGTCACTAAATGAACTGTAAATTATTTAGTGCAGGGAACATGCAGGGAAAGGAAACTTTGCTGTGTGGGCAGATAGCCAGTGTCTGTTCTTCCTTTTAATGATTGTTCTCTCCTTGTTAGTCTGCATTCTTTCCTTTTGTTTTCCCATAATTTAATCCTTTAATCCTATTTCATACCATAATTTAAGATTTTAATCCCATTTCCTAGGTTCTCCCCTTTGACACTCATGTAGCCCTTATTTTTGTCCCCCAGGGCTTGATAAGAGCAAGAACTAACTGGTGGTCAGATCTGGTTGGCATTTTTGCAAACCACTGTCTTGTAATAGTCAATGTCCCCCATTATTGTGGGGGTGACGTTGTGATAGCAAACAAAGTACACGGAGTGGATTGCTGATAATGTATTCAAAGGAACACAGCTGTCTTTTTTTTTTCTTTTGTTGCTGTGATTATTACCAGATGATCCACTGTGATTTCTAGAAATAAATATTTTATTGTTGTGGGTGTACCTGCTATAAATAAATAACAACAGACGGTAGTTGCAAAAACTTCAGTTTTAATTGGCAAAACTGGATCTTGATTTTTGACTTGGTAAAGCCAAATACAGCCAGAGTGGAAGGAACTTAAAATATTAAGTTTACAAAATAAAAACATGAAGTATCTTAATACAAGAACCATACTCAAAACACACAGCACGGTTTATTTAAAAATATATCGAGTCATACCGGTTTGTATGCTACTTCTTCCGTGAAAAACATGATGGTAAATTGGGTTCTGAAGGCAGGAACAGACTGGATTTTGCTCAGATACTAAAGGTCACATTAAATATGAGATTCCTGCATACTTGCCTTTTTGTTTAGTCAACTCAAACAATAGAAGGAAAAAAAGGGCATGTAGCTATTACATGAAGGGAGGGGTATAGGCAGTGGGGAGGTAACAACATAGCACATGATGTTATTGTGAGAATAACATGATTATGTTAAAGCAACTGGTATTAACTATTTCATGCACAAAATGGCAGCATGATACATGTGTCATCATTTTGATTAGCTAATGAACACCTCTGGATGGAGATAGGTGCATTGGGCATATTGATTTCTTTTGGGAAGAATCTATTGATCGGAACGGTCCATAAACCTAAAACAAACAAACAAATAAATAGATCATGGGTGTCAAACTCGATCGTGTCACGTGATGTCATGTGATGTATCACAACATTTTTGCCTTTGCGGAGCTTGGGTGAGCGTGGCCTGCGCATGATGCATCCAGCCCAAGGGTTGCTAGTTTGACACACCTGAAATAGATGAAGTGAAAAAAGTGGATTTAAGGAAAATTTACCATTACAACATCAAGACCCTCTCCCTCTCCCTCTCCCCCACTTCTCTCTCTCTCTCTCTCTGTGTGTGTGTGTGTGTAATGTGAAATTCTTTTAAAGATGTAAAATAAAAAATATTAAACATTCCCCAAAATGTGCAAGGCTTCTGCCTGAACATACAGTAACTCAACCTCAAAAAAATCCCCCTCTAAACTGAACAGAACTCAATTCAGTTGGGAAATTGGTGTTACTGCTCTTTTGACAAGTTTTTTTTTAAAAAAACTGGAATTATCTTTTTAAAATGAGACTTTATAGTATATAAGTCTCTCATGCTCATGTCATAGAAACAAAGGATGTTGGTTTCGTAAAGTATCAACAACAAAAGCCAAAAGTTCTCCTTCATTTTCTGAAAGAAAACAGCTTCCTTTATATATCTATTTCTTAATAAATTCTAATAGATAAGATTATACTCGCCTTCCTTCTTTCCTTCTATTTTAGGAAGTATAGGCAAACTACAAAACCATTTCCTCAAATGGAATTTTTCTAGACTGAACTTCCTGTGTAGGGCAAAATGTACAGAACTGCTTTCCTAAGTGTAGACTGGAGCTGGGTGAGATGGTTCTGCAACCTGCAATCTGCAGGAAAGGATGAGAATGCATACTTCCCCTCTTTCTCTCCTCCTTCCCACCTGACACTGATATGAAAAGAAATGGAAGGCGTATATGAGGATCAAGTCTTCTCCTCCCCCACACTTCTGTTGCCATGTGTAGTAAGAGAAAGGAGAGAGAGAGAAATGTTAGAAAATGTCTTCTTGGTGCCAGTTCCCACCAATGTAGGTGTGGGATTCAGCCGGTTCTGACAAGTTCGGGTGTACCAGTAGCTCTGACAATCAGCTGAGAGTGAACCAGTTCGCTCTGACAATTAGATGGGCCCTCCCACCTGCCCCTGCACTATAATCTACCTATATTTCTTTTGTTTTAAACCCAGTTGATAGGCGCGGCAGAGCGGATTGCCGTGCCTCAGCTGTTTTACTCACTCTGGATTCAGTAGAAGGTAACTTTTGATCGTAATGAGCATGTGTGGAAGCACACGCGCAATGAACCAGTTGTTACAACCGGTGAATCCCACCACTGCACTAGTGGGATCAAAAAATGGACACCAAAGGAAACATTCAAAACCCCACTTCCTTCCCCCCCTCCAATTATCAGTGCTGACCAAAACCCTATTTTGCTTTATGGTCAAGTTTGCAGACGGGACCAAAGTTTAACTAATATTTCTTTGATCCAATATTTATTTATCTGATAATTTTGTAGACTCTGGGCAAGCTAAGACAGAGTGAAAATATTAAAAAGGACAATAATACCGAACCAACCCCAGTGGAGTAGAGCCAGCAACAAACAGAGTTGATGCCTTTTGTGCCCAGTCCATGAATCAGCGCTTTCTTGCTGCCATAAAAACTGTACTCTTTTCAAAGACAATTATTAAATAATAGCATTTATTAAATAATAGATACAATCTGATCATATTTCCAATTACCAGTTTCTAAATAACCCATAGTTCACCATTTCAGAGATATTTCCTTACTTGAACAGAGAAACAGAATGATCAGGGTAGAAAAGCAATGGTAGCTGGAATGATTTCTGACTTCCTGCTGGCCTCCCCATTTACTTTCTTTGTAGGAAGCTGGCAGGGACATTGCAAATGACAATTATGTGACCATGGCTGACTGCACAAAGTGACATCATGGCAGCGCAGCAGCACTCAAACAACCAAAACTTTGCCAAATTTCAAACCTGTGAGAGTCACGGGTCTCAGATTTTGGACACATTCTTAAAATTAGCCCATTTGAGGTGTACTGATTCAAAAATGGTTGCCCTATGATACGCTGTTTTGCCCAACTGAAGATTACAAACAATTAAACAGAAACTAGAGTTTTAGTAATCTATCGATTGCTGACTGCTTGCAAGAACACTCGAAAGGCCAAGTGCTCTTCGGCTCTCATTAAATCCCATCTTTGGCAACAATAATGTTGGTTGTAGTGGAAAAAATTGAAGCAATGTACACAAAACTCAAATAGAATTATATTTTGCAAACAAATCTTTAAGTCTGCTGAGAACAACTGGATCTAAAAACTTCCAGCTCTTTTGAAACTACATGAGTTGCAGAGGGCCAAAGGGTATTTATTAACACCCAGCTCGCCCTAACAAACTTGCTTTCTCTCTCTTGTATTTGAATTCCTGTGGCTAAAGCAGTCCAGGGCTGTTTTAATGATCATTTGCCTTTTACCTTTTTGTGCAGTGAAAACAAGGAATATAAATGTAAGCTAGAAACAGCTAAATAAATAATTAAAGGGGCTGCCTGTTTGCTGCCTTTCTTGATTCTGCATTTTTCTCCTTATTAAAAAAGTCCCATCGCATGACTGAGTTCACGGCAGCCTCAGTTTTGCTTATTTGAAGTACAGAAAGCGGGGACAATGGCAGATCACTGTTAAAAATTGGGTTTTTTCCCAACCAATCCCATAACAAAGGTTGACAAACTCTTGATATGCAAAACTTAACCAACATTTTTCTTTCTATTTGAACATTTTGGAAAGTTATGCATTTTTCCCCCTGTTGGGCTGAATAAGAGTACTGAAAAATACAGAAGAATTTGTCAGCACAGCATTAATTAGGATATAGAAAACAGATATTGATTTTTTTAAAGTAACAACTACAGCCCAAGAGATATTGCACTGACAATGAACAGAGTTGTCAAAATTCCCTGTGGATTCTGGAAAAAAAAAAAAATTAAAGTTCTTATATAGTACAATTAGAACTAGTTTTAAAAGTAAAAAGTTGAAAACATGAGATGTTCTTGTTTTGGGTGAAGAATATACAAAGTGTCCCCTCCACTCTGTTCTCGATATGGTTGTCCTAGTTTAAGCTTTAGGTCAGGGTTGTCAAACTGGACAGTGGTGGGTTGCTCCCAGTTCTGTCCGGTTCTTTAGAAGCAGTAGTAAAAGCAGTGGGAGGCTCCGCCCACCTGCCTGGATGTCATAATTGATGATCTGCACATGCGCAGAAGCGTGCGCGCTCCCATTGCGAACCGGTAGTAAAGGTAAGTAGAACCCACCCCTGAAACTGGCAGCCCACAGTCCGGATGCATCACATGCAGACCACGCCCACCCCAGCTCAGCAAAGGGAAATGTCACATGACGGCAATATGATGCGACGAGTTTGACATCTGTGCTTTTGATCATACTGTAGTTAATCTGAGCAATTTTAATTGGCTATTTTACTCTCCAATACAAATGCCAATTTTCTTTTTTTAAAAAAATATTTGTGTCTTTCATTTTCATATGATTAGATTTTTACACTCAAACACAAAATACTACATCTGAGGATAAAATGAGCAGTGCAGTATAGTTTTTATTTCTGATTTGTATTTGAAATGCAAAATATGAGTATAGAGACAAGGAGAAAACATGGGTATAGAGATAAGAAGAGTAACATAGTTGTTCAGTGCAAGAATCTTTATTTGGATAATACAATTCAATATTATAAAGTATTAAAAAGTAAAATAAAAGTCCATATTAGTTATATGTTTGAATTGGGGAATCAAAAATTGGAATTTCCAATTCTGGAAAATCAGTGGGCCTGGAGATACACACACACACACACACACGTTTACTTTAATCATTATAATTAGGTTTATTTTTCCTTTACTGCCAAATCGCTATTTATTTATAATCTTTGTTGGCAATGCAGACTTTTTAAATTTTATTATTAAAAAAAAACATACATTATAGATCATATAATAGTTGCCGATGTTTCTACCAGGTAGTCCCACAGGTCTGAGTTGAAAACCATTTGGAGCTTTATGATGTGTTGTAGACTTTCACTCTGTGCTCTTCTACCCATCCATGTAGTTCTGGAACCACAATCTGCTCTTTGTTTGCCATTGCAGTGACTCTGAACACAGGAAAGGCTGGTTGCTTTAGAGCTGCCAGACACTTACTCCTGGTGGGCTCCAAGGAACCACTGGGTGGCGAACATTGTTCACCAATGCTTGGAAAAGCTCCTTTGAGTTTCAGATCTCTTCTGAAAGCTGTTTTTTTTTAAAAAAATTATTTAGTTTGTCATATGGTACCAGATAACATGTATAAGTATAAACATGGACAAGAGCACATGAAATGAGTACAAATAAATGGGGACAGTAGGACAGGGACGGTACGGTAGGCACACTGGTGCGCTTATGCACGCCCCCTTTACGGACCTCTTAGGAATGATGTGAGGTCCACGGTAGTCAGTTTAAGGTTGAAGCTATGGGGGTTTGAGGAAGTAACAACGGAGTCAGGTAGAGCATTCCAGGCATTGACCACTTTGTTGCTGAAGTCGTATTTTCTGCAATTGAATTTGGAGCGGTTTACATTGAGTTTGTATCTATTGTTTGCCTGTGTATTATTGCGGTTGAAGCTGAAGTAGTCGTTGACAGGTAGAATGTTGTAGCAGACAATTTTGTGTACTGTGCTTAGGTCAGATCATAGGTGGTGTATTTCAAGGTTGTTCAAGCCCAAAATTTCAAGCCTGGTGGCATAAGGTATTCTATTGTGAGCAGAGGGGTGGAGTACCCTTCTTGTGAAATACCTCTGGACCAGGGGTGAAATCCAGCAGGTTCTGACAGGTTCTGGAGAACTGGTAGCAGAAATTTTGAGTAGTTTGGAGAACGGGCAAATACCACCTCTGGCTGGCCTCAGAGTGGGGTGGGAATAGAGATTTTGCAATATCCTTCCCCCAGGAGTGAGAGGGAATGAAGATTTGCAGTATCCTTCCCCTGCCACACCCACCAAGCCATGTCCACAGAACCGGTAGTAAAAAAAATTTGGATTTCATCACTGCTCTAGACTCGCTCAATTGTATTAATGTCTGATATACAGTGTGGATTCCAGGTATACAAATGATACAAATGGTGTCAGTAACTATGGGGTACATGGTGGGGCTATTGAGTAAATAAGCAGCAGTTGAGTAAATAAGATCCTTGGAGGCGCCAATTAGAGATGGAGATAAAGGGAAGTAGTAAGAGACATTTTGCTAGATAACTTGCAAGTCAGTGCAGAACATCAGAATTAAGGAAGGGGATCAGTCCCAAGGAGCAGAGAGGGAGTAATTACACTCAGAAGAGCTATGAAAGATATAGATTAAAAAATCTATGGGCACACAGATGGAAAGAATCACACACAGGGGCCGGGGAGACAGGAGAGGAGCAAAAGCAGCTTAGCCTGGAGCAAAAGATAAAAAGGGCTTAGTAACAAGAAATAAAGGCAAAAAGAGTTTTCATTGCCAGGAAGACAGACTACTCATGAGTAGACAAAAAGTGAAAGGAAGAAAAGGGGATACTTTTATTCCTGCAACATTCTATCCAGGTGGGATTTTCATTCCCTGCAGCTGAGAAGGAGAGAAAAGCAACTTCAGAGGTGCTAATGATTCACTTGAATTGGTTGGCAGTTCAACAGTGGGAAGAGAGGGAGGCTGGGAGTTTTACCAGTAAGAATAAAAGATAAAGGTAAAGGTTCCCCTCACACATATGTGCTAGTCATTCCCAACTCTAGGGGGCGATGCTCATCTCTGTTTCAAAGCCGAAGAGCCAGAACTGTCTGAAGATGTCTCCGCGGTCATGTGGCCAGCATGACTAAACTCCAAAGGTGCACGGAACGCTGTTACCTTCCCACGAAAGATAGTCCCTATTTTTCTACTTGCATTTTTACATGCTTTTGAACTGCTAGGTTGGCAGAAGCTGGGACAAGTAACGGGAACTCACCCCATTATGCGGCACTAGGGATTCAAACCGCTGACCTGCCAACCTTTCAATCAATAAGCTCAGCATGTTAGCCACTGAGCCACCACATTCCCTTAGTAAGAATATTACCCACCAAGGGTAATAAGGGTGGCAGGACAAGGAAGCTTGAAGAGTCAAGAAAAGAATGAGCAGATGAGAGAAGATCTATTTCAGGAAGGTCACAGGAAGAAAAGAGTGATGACATTTTCTATTGCTCTCTGCATTTTGCAAGAGAACGGGAGAGTTGACAATGTATTTTTAAAATGTACTTGCTTTTAAGACGACTCAGTTGTGTAGGAACTGTCAACTCTGAGCAAAACTCTCTAGAGACACAGGTTTGTAGGTTTATTTTTCTAGTGCAAGAAGTAAAGTGTTCCAGACTATTTTCTAATCTCTTTGCAAATTCATTGATTTGTGAGTTCATAGAAAACTACCACCCAATCAGGACTTGTTATTTTTGGCCAACAGCTGAGCACAGTACTTGTCAGCTAATAAATATGTGCCATGGCCAGGCCCTTTGGGTAGTTGCCTAAATGCATAACCCTTCTCTCTCTCCCCCAAAATTAAAAGAAGGAAATAGCTACAATATCAAATACCAGGATATATATTTTGAATGGTTTAGAATAGAATAGAATTCTTTATTGGCCAAGTGTGATTGGACACACAAGGAATTTGTCTTAGGTGTATATGCTCTCAGTGAGCATAAGGAGAATAAAATATATTAATCAAGAATAAAAAGATACAACACTTAGTGATAGTCAAGGTTACTAATAAACTATCAAATTGTAGTAGGAAACAAAAACAATATAATTGAAAGATACAAGCAACATGGTTATAGTAATAATTGGGAAGAGATAGATACTAGTAAGGAAGAGCAGAATAATAGTAATACAGTCTTAGTAAATTATTTGACAGTGTTGTGGGCATTAGTTGTTAAGCAGAGTGATGGCATTTGGGAAAAAACTGTCCTTGTGTCTAGTTGTTTTAGTGTGCAGTGCCCTATGGTGTCTTTTTGAGGGTAGAAATTGAAACAATTTATGTTCAGGATGTGAGGGGTCTGTAGATATTTTCACAATCCTCTTTTTGACTCGTGCAGTATACAGATCCTCAATGGATGTTTTTGATGTTAGGTGTCCATTTTAAGTCTTGAGATATGATAGAACCTAGAAACTTGAAGGACTCTACTGTTGATACTGTGTTGTCTAGTATTGTAAGAAGTAGTAGTATAGGTGGTTTTCTTCTAAAATCTACCACCATTTCTATGGTTTTGAGTGTATTTAGTTCAAGATTGTTCTGGTTGCACCACAAGGCTAGTTGTTCAACCTCCCGTCTGTGTGCAGATTCATCATTGTCTTGAATGAGACCAATCACTGTTATATCATCTGCAAACTTAATTGTACCAGCATGCTACAAGGAGCTGGCATGCAAAAGAAGTGGGGAACTCTCTAGTGATAGCACTCCTAGGTCCAATGCTATTAGCATAGGAATTGATCAAAACCAATAGTTGAAAGACTCCAACTATGACATTTTACCCTATTACAAAGGCAGCATCTTCACCTGGGAGATTCCTATATTTGAAGGTACCATGCATTGGAAGTATCTGGGCCTCCCATTATACTGAGAAAATTAGGTTTATATTCTTTTCATAAACACTGGATCTCTTGATTAATTTTATCCAATGCTTGTCAATCTGGGTAGGACCAGTTACTCCCATACTTTCTTTCTATTTATCATGTTGCACAGGTAGAGTTTAGACACTTCAAGTAGAAGCAAAAAATCATTGAACTGAAATGGTCCAAGCATTATACACTTGATTTTTTTTTCCTGCTCTGGCCTCTTATTCAGTATAATTCAATTGTGGAATTATATTAAACAAAACTGGTGATTTCATCCAAACCTGTCAGATCATATATAAATTTACTTGATGGATCTTTTCTCACTTTATTGGAAAAGTGTCAAGTGTTCACAATGTGCAATTCTACCCTCTACTGCATTTCTGAGTTTTATGCCAGGCAAGCAAAATTTATTTTATGAAGAAATGTAGCTGTTGATTTTATGCATAAAGTACTCTAGCAGAGATAATCCGTTCAGCCGTCTGTGACATAGGTTAATTAAAAACTTAGCAGGTCAAAGAACACTGCATTCACTCCAATAAGTTTGTACATTTGTGAGTTACTTTCATTTCCTCTGACATTTTCCCAAAAATTATCTAGAAACGAAGTTGGTAGTGCTAGGATACTGAACCATGTATTGTAGTTTCAAGTCTGGTACAATTTACAAAACCAATGTGCAAGTCCATCTCAGGTTGCCCAGATGACAATATTGAGACCAAATACAAAGATCAGGAACTTTCAAAGACTGTTTTGGTTTTTTTTTTGTTGTTGTTGTTGGGATCATAACGCCTGTGCTCTTCTGATTGCACTACTTTTTTAAAGAAAAAAAAAGATCAATATCAACAATATCAGTTTCACTTTCGAGAAATGATGACTAATAATTTGAGGAGTCTTGAGAGTTCTAATGATGGAGAAACTCATATATTGATGACTATGCTTGAGGTTTCCAGCTTGATATATTCAAAAAGATATGATTCATTATTTCTGGCAATATTATGCAAATGGTAAGTCCTCTGACTCATTGACTTTTGTGTAGGGGTTAGCAATTTGATGTACCAATTTAGAACTCCTTGACACTATTGCTATTAAGAAAAAAAGTCTTCTTGACATTGAAAGATACAGATAGCATGCTTGCTTCCTTTCTTATTTGTTGAATTGTATTTAGAGGCCACTCATACCATTTCAGAATCTCTCATCATTCTTATATATTTCATGTATTTTTTAAAAAACATAAGCAAGAATAGCACTATAGGAACATGGTGGCTCAGTGGCTAAGATGCTGAGCTTGTCGATCGAAAGGTTGGCAGTTCAGTGGTTCGAATCTCTAGTGCCACATAATGGGGAGAGCTCCTGCTACTTGTCCCAGCTTCTGCCAACCTAGCAGTTCAAAAGCACATAAAAAATGCAAGTAGAAAAATAGGGACCACCTTTGGTGGGATGGTAACAGCATTCTGTGCACCTTTGGTGTTTAGTCATGCTGGCCACATGACCACGGAGATGTCTTCAGACAGCGCTTGCTCTTCAGCTTTGAAACGGAGATGAGCACCGCCCCCTAGAGTCGGGAACAACTAGCACATATGTGCAAGAGGAACCTTTACCTTTAACAATAGCACTTAACTTATATACTGCTTCACAGTGCTTTACAGTCCTCTCTAAGTGGTTTACAGAGCCAGCATATTGCCCCCAACAATCTGGGTCCTCATTTTACCCACCTTGGAAAGATGGAAGGCTAAATCAGTCTTGAGCCAGCTTCCTTGGTCATAAACAAACTTATGCTTAAACCACATATTCAAAACAATTCAGAATGTTGCACAATTTTTTCCACAAAATTATCTCTTTCTTTCATTAATTGGACTTTAGCAAGCAGTTATCACCAACCTAGTGATTGCTATTTTCATACCCACCCAAAATGATTAATGATTCCAATTCATAATTATCTTCATGCCACCTTGGTCACCAGTTTTAATCATGCTGTGTAGCATGGCAGCTTTTGTCATATTTTGGCCAATATGCCAATGTTTTACATTGTATATCCATGCTACTCTATTCAAGTAGATGCTGAATCTAGAGACCACCTTGCAAACCAAGATACTATTCCATACCATATACTAGGTTGAACATATATGCTGTGCTTTGATGCATAGTTAGGATGCAAATATTATTTATATTATAAAGAAACAGATAGTATCTACTGGTAGTTTTGAGAGTGTTTGGTAGTAGTTTTCCAAACATGAGTAATTCTGCAAGAATTTTTCTTTGTTAGCATCAAAAAACCCCAAGCAAAAATAGTTAATGTTTAACTTTTTATGGAAATATTTATTTATACCTGTAAAACCCAAGGTAGTGCCTCCCAATCACTCTGAGTAGGGATCTATTCACTAGTAAACAACAGGAGCTGTGGAATTGCCACATTGCAAGGTAGACATTTGTTTCAGCTTCCCCTTTTTTCCTGCTTCCATCTTTCTGCCACTGTCTCATTTGTTTTGATTATGTGCCATCACGTTCTCCATTAATGGCAAGTGCTTTTCGTCATCCTCAGACCAGCTGTGAGAACTGTAGTGGCTCCTGTGGGGAAAAAGAGAGGAAAGGATGGAACAAAGGAAGCAAGGGACAAGCAGAGAAGCAAGAAGAAAATGAGAGGGAACAAGGGTAAAATATAAAGATAATTAAATAATAGCCCTGTTCAAAAAATGATTCTGGGATATACATGCTGCTTGTCTGTGAGATTTCCCATTTATTTATTTACAACATTTTAAAATTCATTAGATTTTATCATTCATAGAGTCATTTAGATGATTCTGAGCAGTGAACAGAATGTCAATGGGCAATCTCTAGATAGAATAATTCAGGACAATAAATAGTGACACAAGCCAACATAAAATCAGATGACCACCTTTCATTCTCTCTGGATAGACATCAAAACTCCTAAAAAGAAAAGTTATCTGAAGCTCCAAAGCAAGAGGATCAAACGAACCATACTAAGAAATCCTGCTCTAACTCCCATCTCCCTCATCTTCCTGTGGGGACAGGATCTTAGGCAGATCATTTTTACTTGTTAAATTTCTAGGATCTAGCCCAATAACTCTCAGTACTTCATCAATAACAGAAATAACTTATTTATTTATTATTGAGAATATAACTTAACCTATTCATATACATCTATAACCTTGCTTCTGTATCTCATAGGTATTCATCTAAATCTGAGGGAGAAGGTTTACAGACAAGGACTTATATACCCAGAGGGAGGAGTCAAAGGTAAGGCGGAGTTGGGAATGGGATGGGTTTAAGGGATTTAACCCATGCTAAACCATAGAGTGCAGAATAAATACAAGAGTTAGACATTTTATCTGGCATTACTCTAAGTCACTTGACAGGCTATAGAAAACTATTATAGATAAGGAGATCCAGAAGGGAATCTGCTGCTATGCTAAAGCTGCCCTGTTGCCAATTTTTCCATGGATGAATGTTAGAAAATGGTGACCATCATGTTACTCCTGCATTCCCCAACAGAGTCAAAGGGAAACGTTACCTTCTTACTTCTTGGATTCTCTGTAATACTTCTGCCCCTGTCTGGAGACCAGCCAGATTTTTTTCCCTTTTAAATTTCTTGGTTTGCACCATTCCTCTCCCAGCATCCACCAATGGCCTACTTCACTTTCACATTTGGCCTTCCGGTCCATCCATCAACAGCTGACTCAACCTTCTCTGTCCCACCCCTATAGCAATCAGACTAAAATAAATAGCAACTCCTTAGGCTGATGAGTAGCTTAGCAACATGCTACCTTTAAAAAAACCCCTAAAAACAAAACTTTGAACTCTGAAAATCTGTTTTCTTTAGTTGATTTGCTATTTTGCTGGTTTCCTTTTTTCTGATGACAGCAACAGGGGAGAGGAGGAGGAATGGAGCAAGTGAATCTCACATGCATCTCCAAAAGAAAATTAAAAGGCACAATCAAGGAGCATTGAGAACAGGGATTCTCACTGACTGACAACTCTCAACAAGTGGGAACATGGATATCTCTGACCTGACAGTAAAGAGACACAGTAGATGCGATGTCCATTTCATATGGTAACTATTCCCTTTGTGTATGTGTGTGCATGTGGGAGGAATGTGTCAAATCATAAGTAAACAGCCGACAAGCCAGACAGAAACAGAAGAAAAATAGGACACACAAATGCTTTAAAACAAGTGGAATATCTGTGTTGAGATTTTATATTGCATTCTAGAATTCAACTGTAAAAAGAGATAGGATTATAATAAAGGCTTATATTTACAGAACATTGAGTCAGCACCATACAGCAAAATACATAAGAAACAAGGTACAATAAACAACATTATGCAAATAAAAAAATAAAAAAGAATATAATTAAACAAACCAAACAATTAGACAAACAAAAAATGTGATCATCCTAGACCAAGCCAGGTCCAAATACGCCAGGAAACTTCTAGAAGCCTAGCACTCTGACAAATTACTCTGACACTTTGACACTCTGACAAATTAGCCATCAATAGACACATAGACACTAACAATATCTATGGACCATGTAAAAGAAACAATCAACTAGCCAAAAAGGTAACAAAAATGATCCAAGCACCTGTCCACCAACAATCAGCACGCAGATCAGCATAGATTTACTTTAAGATTAACATCAGACCAACAATCAAGTAAATAACACCCCAATCAAGAAACTGCCAAAGAAGCCAGCAGCGAATAGCCCAATCAAAGAATCTCTAAGACCACTCCCACCAAAACTGACAGAGCAGAACACTAGAATATAAACTGAAAGCAAATCTCATTCCTTACTAGCACTGATGATGTTACCCAGTTTGGGTAATGAAACATCTGTACGAAAACAAGCAAGCTCAGAGAGCACTAAGGACTCCTCACAAACCAAATTGTAGCCAAATCAAGATGGACTCAAGGACCAAATGCTCCCCAGAAGAGTTTTAAGCAGCTTCTGGAAGCCAATCAAGATGGGAGTCCATCAGATATCTACCGGGAGGTCAAGTCAAGAAATAACAGTGTAGTCACAAAAGCAATACCATCCTCCTAAAGATTTCCCAATAGATCAAACTGGCTGGGCTGATTCCATGGGAGAATGTGATCCTGCAGATAATTAGATACCAAGCCACTTAATAAGTTACTACCAGCATTTTAAATTGTACCTAGAAGCTTGCATGCAACCACTGCACTGCCTGCAGCACTAGTCCAATGTGCTCCTACTGTCAAATGCCAATCAGAACATGGGTTGTTACATACTGAGCCAACTGCACATATGAGTGATCTTCAAAGGCAGCCCCATGTAGAGCACATCACAGTAATTTAAGTGGGTGGTATAGAGGTCAAAGGTCATTGTAGCAATTATTCATTATAACATGCTGTGCTAACTTTGAAGTTACTAGAGTTGCTATCTTTGAAAAATGATACTGTTTGACTAGTTCACATGGAGTCCCCTTGGTAAAGGAATTATTATCTGAAATCCATCAGGCCATCAACAACTTATTTTTTTGCTGGCAGTTGGAGAATCTCACTTTCTCCTTAACCCTTGAAAAAGAATGAAGACTACTGATCTAGCTGAGGAACGTCAGCTTTCGGGGGAATTCAGTTCTATTATATAATTAGTATAATTCAGCTTAATTCAGAAACTTGGTAATATTTTTTCAACAATAAAATCAGCTTTAAGTTGAATGTGCCTATATCAGCATCTACAAGAAGGATCTAATTCAATAAGTACTTTTATGTAGATCGGACTTTTTCAGATCTGAACTTGAAAATTTGGCTTTACTAGCTGAGAATTCTTAGAGCTGCATTTTCAATTTACCAGACTGAAGTACCAGTTTGAGGACTGATAATATGAACTCCTATAAATCAAAGTCTTCACAAATCTGGAAGGAAGATGACATCAAGGTATTTTTATTTTATAATAACCCAGTTCTTTCCTATTTATCTTTATTTGAAAGTTTTGCACATCTTGCCATCAATGATTACTTGTGTTCCTTAAAATACATTCACTTGCATTTTTTACTTTCAACTCACTTTCATTACCTAATTATTTACATACTGTATTAGGCAGCTTGGGAAGAACAACAATTTTCATTCCCTATAAGCATATTGTATGAAGCATTTGAAACTCAGACTCAGAAATGGCTAAGGAAGATATTTGACTTATTACTTGTTAATCCATTTGAAATAAACTGTAAAAGAAGGGAATTAGGTTTCTTCTTCCTTCTATTGGTTCACATAAAATGTAGACCAACACACACACATAGAGCATATGAAGACCAGATACATGGTTTGTCCAGAAAATAAAATCAATTTATTTAGTCCAATAAACAAACAAAGCATTAGATATTTTTATGTTCATTTTAGGGTGCAACTGTAGATCATTCAATTATTTCCCCCCCCCATTCTTCCTCGCATTTCATCACCTGTGGTTCTGACATTTGAAATTCATTTCTCTAACCTTGACTGAGTCTTTCACCCCTATAATTAATGTTTTTTTTCCCACACCTCAATTTACATTAAACAGGCTTACTTGGATATGAATCTTCTCAAAAGAACTAATAATTACTAGACATAAAATAGTATTTTCTACTGAGTGAGTAATAAATAAAATAAATTGTGATTTAAAAAAAAGAAATGTAGGTATTTGTATACTGTACAGGCTATCATGCAGTTTTTTTTGTGAGGTAGTGAAGAGAAGAGTCAAAAGACCATCAATTCACAGATGTTTGGGATGCTGGGCAAGCTGAATTGTTCACATAATATCCTGACATGAGATCTGAGAGAGATGATCCAAGCGACAAGCCTGTTTGTTCCAGTTTTTAATGCATTCTGTGTGCAACGATTCTGTCTTGACATCTTTGCTTTTTGCAGTCACTATTTTGTATATTTATGCTTATTTTGTTCTTTCAGAAAGATATGAATATGGAGGAATTTTCAGACCAGTGATTCTGTCTGATGTGATTGTATCAGTTGTTCTGCTCTATGTTTAAATCAAACCTACACATCATCTAAGATTTATTGCCCTCCAGGTTCAGCAATCTTTTCAGGCAGTTGGCACCAGTATACAATTTTGCAGGCACTACAGCATTAAGAGAAGGTCAAAAAACAGTCTAATCTTATGAGATTGTATATGAGAACATAAAAATGCATGACATGGAGGCATTTTTAATTTTTGTTTCAAATTTCAGAAGGCACCATGTTGATGACCATGGTTATAGGTTGCAGCAAATCAGTCATTTTACCAAAGGATGTCTAGAACTCTCTGAAGCAAAGTAAATTCCAGCCCAGAATAATTAGGCAATTTTGATCCATTGTTTATGACAGAAGTGTTCATGACAGTAGTATTCATATTATTTGTTCATCATGTCATGCAAATAATCATTTATCCTACCTTGGCTCTTCATAGAAGCCCACAGGTATTAAATCTGCACTGAGGTCATTTTATCCAATTTCTGCTTCTGCTTCTGCTTCTGATTTTTTTTTTTAAAGATAGGCATTACATGCATCTCTTTTTCAGGTCTTAATGCAAGCCCTTTGTTCATTCATGACACACCTTTGTGCACCTTTTTCTCTGATGTATGCCCTTTTGTAGGCATCTTTTAAAACTGTGTACACAATTCAGATTTGGGGATGGCATAGCCAATTTGGGAATTGGAATTGGATTAAGTTAAATAAATATATGCACTGAATCAATGCATACTAAATACAACCCCAGGGTTACTTTGAAAGGGGATTAGGCCTAAAACACTTGGCTAGTTCTAGAGCACAGAAAGGGGAAAAACGGCTGAAAGCTGGTCTCTGTTCTCTCGTCCTGTGTCTGCAGTGGGTCGATGCAGACAGTTCTGGCCAAGACAGAAGTAGATGGAGCTTTGCTATTGAAATAACAGAAGTGCCATGATGTCTTTGGAACCTAAACTTGCAGTTTTGATTAATTGTCTCTGCATTGTCCTCAGGGGATATGCATGCTTGGTATGAGAACTGAATGTACCATTGATTCAGTTATAGCACACAAAATGACTCCGGTTTTGTCAGAGATGTGGTGATTCATATGCTGAAAGAAAAGGAGAAACATTTAGTTTATATTCCGTTCAAGGTAAAAGCTGCTTTATTTAGAAAAAGGAGAAGTGTGACTTCATGTTAAAAATGAGGAAAAGAAACCTTGTCTTTTAAAACTCTCATGCTCACGTTCATATTTTATAAAACACATTACACTTTAATGTAAACTAGAGTCTTTAAAGTTTAGCATGACAATATTTGTAACGTTAAGCGATACTGTATTTTGTTTGGCTTTTTATTTGGGCCTCAGGCAAAAGTCCTTCTAGTATTTTATTTCACTCTTCTTGAATTGTTTTTCTAAAAGCCATATCTTTGTTTTAGATAAGGTTCAAAAAGATTTTTCATCTTTTTAAGCAACTGTATAATGCAGCCACTAGGAGAAAGGGATTGAATTTTAGGAGATGATCAGCCTGAATCCGAAGGCAGGGTCAAACATGTCATCAGTTTGGGGTCGCTCTGCTCCCACAAGAGACCCAAATCCAGGCCCTCTTGAATTCTATTAACTCTGATCTAATGCCAATTTGCCTTGATTGTTAGTAGATCAGATTCTTATGTAAAAATAGTGTGGAATAAACTCGTAGTACTTTTAAACTCTGTCCTGGCTCCTGATTTCTTGTGCCTGA